GCCGCCCCATTAGGAGCTCCACCGAAGACGAACCTGCAAACGCGGTATTCACAACTGCATATGGTTGGGTTCCCCGCCAAGACAATTTTGGTACACCCCTCGCACGCTTCGTGGCCCCATAGGGCGCTCCACCGAAGGCCCCAGTGGTGGTGTCCGCATGCGTTTCCCCCACCCAGTACAGCGCTTCGTGGCCCCAAGGGCCCAAGGGAGCTCCACCGAAGGCCCCAGTGGCGTTGTCCGCACACATTTCCCCCACCCAGTGCAACGTTGCGTGGTCCCATAGGGAGCTCCACCGAAAGCCCCATTCGCGGTGTCCGCATGCGCTTCCCCCATCCAGTACAGCGTTTCGTGGATCCATAGGGAGCTCCACCAAAAGCCCAGTGGCGGTGTCCGCATGCGCTTCCCCAGCCCAGTACAGCGTTTCGTGGCCTCATAGGGAGTTCCACCTAAGGCCCTGCCCGCATGCGTTTCTCCCACCCAGCACGGCGTATCGTGACCCCATATGAACTTCACCGAAGGCCCCCGTGGCGGTGTCGGCATGCGTTTCCTCCCACTCAGTACAGCGTTTTGGGACTATTGGGAGCTCCACCAAAGGCCCCAGTGGCGGTGTCCGCATGCGTCTCCACCACCGGGCACACCGCTTCGTGGCCGCATCGGGAGCTCCACCAAAGGCCCCAGTGGCGGTGTTTGCATGCGTCTCCCCCACCCAGTACAGCGCGTCGTGGCCCCATGAGGAGCTCCACCGAAGGCTTCAGAGGCGACGTTCGCATGGCGGCCCCGCTTCATGTCGTCACACCCCTCACACGTTTCGCAACCCCATATGGAGTGCCACCGAAAGCCCTATATTGGCTCCGCCCGCATGAGTCCCGCAACATTCCGGCACACCTTTTACATGGTTCGTGGCCCCATAAAGAGATCCACCGAAGGCGAAACCCACGCAGGCGATGCTCACAATTACATATGGTTGGGCTATTCGCCAGGATTAATTTGTTGTCTTTCTCTCTCTCTCTCTCTGTCTCTCCATGTACGTCTCTCTCCTTTTTTCCCGGAAAGGGCGCGGGCCCAGGGTTCTCTTTTAGTAGGTAAACCTGTCCCCCGGTGCCAACTTGAGGGAGGCCGGCGAATTTTTTCCCTGATAAATAACGAGGTCGAAGGAGGCCGGCGAATTAAAATTTGAGGAAGTCTCGAGCGAAACGCTTGTTTTTCAGAATTTGTTGAGGATGTCTCGAGCGAAACGCTGGTTTTGCAGAGTTGGGGATGTCTCGAGCGAAACGCTTGCTCCGCAGAGTTTGCCGAGGATGTCTCGAGCGAACGCTGGTTTTGCAGAGCCGACCGCGACGCGGAAAAGCGCCCCGCGCGAAGGAATTTCGATGATGTCTCGACTAATTCCTTTGTTTTTGTACGATTTCCTGGAATTTTGGCAGGATGTCTCGAGCGAAATGCACGACCCCACCCTAGCACGACCATACCCCAGCACGACCACACCCCAGCACGACCAGACCCCAGCACGACCCACCCCAGCACGACCCCACCCCAGCACGACCATCCAGCACGACCACCACCCCAGCACGACCCGACCCCAGCACGACCCTACCCCAGCAACGACCACACCCCAGCACGACCACACCCCAGCACGACTCACCACAGCACGACCACGCCCCAGACCACACCCCACAGCACGACACGACCACCCCAGCACGCACCACACCCCCAGCACCCCCACGCCCCAGCACGACCACACCCCAGCACACACCCCACTGCACGACCCCATCGACCCCACCCCCTTCCCAGCACGACACACCCCAGCACACACCCAGCACGACCCAACCCCAGCACGACCCCACCCTAGCACGACCACACCCCAGCACGATCACACCCCCAGCAGCACGACCACACCCCAGCACGACCCCACCCCAGCACGACCCCACCCCAGCACGACCACACCCCAGCACGACCACACCCCAGCAGGACCCCACCCCAGCACGACCCCACCCCAGCAAGACCACACCCCAGCACGACCACACCCCAGCACGACCACACCACAGCACGACCACACAGCACGACCACGCCCCAGCACGACCACGCCCCAGCACGACCACGCCCCAGCGACCACGCCCCAGCACGACCACGCCCCAGCACGACCACCCCCCAGCACGACCACCCCCCCAGCACGACCACCCCCCAGCACGACCACCCCCCAGCACGACCACACCCCAGCACGACCACTCCCCAGCACGACCACACCGCCTTGGTTGAGTGGTTGCCTGTCGTCGTGGAATGTTTCGTGGGGTGTCTCGTGGAATGTTTCGCGGGGTGTCTCGTGGAATGTTTCGTGAGGAATGTTTCGTGAGGTGTCTCGTGGGATGTTTCGTGAGGTGTCTCGTGGGATGTTTCGTGAGGTGTTGCCCCGTTGGGTATCGTGAAAACGTGCCCATGCTCCACATGTCTATATCCCTTTCCGGGTTCGTGGGTCCATCATGTTTCTCAATTCCCAACTTCGCCCTGTGCTCTCTGATCAGTGCTGTCTATATGCGCGATATACCCTCTCACTCTGACCTCCCCATCCATCCTTCAATCTTATATCGAATAGAGTGTTCGCACATTCCCCTTTTTCCCGGAAAGGGCGCGGGCCCAGGGTTCTCTTTTAGTAGGTAAACCTAGTCCCCCGGTGCCTGCTTGAGGGAGGCCGGCGAATTTTTTCCCTGATAAATAACGAGGTCGAAGGAGGCCGGCGAATTAAAATTTGAGGATGTCTCGAGCGAAACGCTGGATTTTGGGTTGAGGATGTCTCGAGCGAAACGCTTGATTTTTTCTGAATTTGCTGAGGATGTCTCGAGCGAAACGCTTGTTTTGCAGAGCCGACCGCGACGCGGAAAAGCGCCCCGCGCGAAGGAATTTCGATGATGTCTCGACTAATTCCTTTGTTTTTGTACGATTTCCTGGAATTTTGGCAGGATGTCTCGAGCGAAATGCACGACCCCACCCTAGCACGACCATACCCCAGCACGACCACACCCCAGCACGACCAGACCCCAGCACGACCCCACCCCAGCACGACCCCACCCCAGCACGACCATACCCCAGCACGACCACACCCCAGCACGACCCGACCCCAGCACGACCCTACCCCAGCAAGACCACACCCCAGCACGACCACACCCCAGCACGACCTCACCACAGCACGACCACACCCCAGCACGACCACGCCCCAGCACGACCACGCCCCAGCACGACCACGCCCCAGCACGACCACCCCACAGCACGACCACCCCCCCACGCACGACCACCCCCCAGCACGTCCACCCCCCAGCACGACCACACCCCAGCACGACCACTCCCCAGCACGACCACACCCCAGCACGACCACACCCCAGCACGACCACACCCCAGCACGACCCGATCGATAAATCACAGGGTGCGGAGCACCCCAGCACGAACCCACCCCAGCACGACCCCACCCCAGCACGACCCACCCCAGCACGACCCGACCCCAGCACGACCCGCCCCAGCAAGACCACACCCCAGCACGACCACACCCCAGCACGACCACTCCCCAGCACGACCCCACCCCAGCACGACCCCACCCTAGCACGACCACACCCCAGCACGACCACACCCCAGCACGACCCCACCCCAGCACGATCACACCCCAGCACGACCCCACCCCAGCAAGACCACACCCCAGCACGACCGCACCCCAGCACGACCTTCCACAGCACGACACACAGCCCCAGCACGACCACGCCCCAGCACGACCACGCCCCAGCACGCCCCAGCACGACCACGCCCCAGCACGACCACCCCCCAGCACGACCACCCCCCCAGCACGACCACCCCCCAGCACGACCACCCCCCAGCACGACCACACCCCAGCACGACCACTCCCCAGCACGACCACACCGCCTTGGTTGAGTGGTTGCCTGTCGTCGTGGAATGTTTCGTGGGGTGTCTCGTGGAATGTTTCGCGGGGTGTCTCGTGAAATGTTTCGTGAGGTGTCTCGTGGAATGTTCGTGAGGTGTCTCGTGGGCTGTTTCGTGAGGTGTCTCGTGGGATGTTTCGTGAGGTGTTGCCCAGTTGGGTATCATGAAAACGTGTCCATGCTCCACATGTCTATATCCCTTTCCGGGTTCGTGGGTCCCATCATGTGTTATCCTTATCTATATACACATCTCTGATCAACTCTGCTCACAACTCTTCGGACCCCAGTCTACTCATCTACGATCAAAGACCCAAGCACTTGGCCACAACCAAGACATTCAGAACCCCAGAACCTCACGTTGCCAGGAATATAGAAAAAGGGAGCCAGGAAGCTGGGAACCCACCAAACCTTACACTGCCAAGGAGCCTGCAATCGGGAACAAGGAGCCAGGGAACCCAGCCGCCCACTGAACCGGGAACCCGGGAACCTGGGAACCGGGAGTCTGGAAACCAGGAGCCTGGCAACCAGGAGCGGGGAACCGGGGAACCCGGCCGCCCACCGAAATCGACCGGGGACTTTCGCCACATCTTTTAATCTCCGCGAGGGTTCCTTCAGTGCAAGTGCTGACTGGGGAATGAAACTTCACGTGCGATCCTGACCATGGGACTGACGACGCCAGTCTGGACCCTTCTGAATTCATTATTCAGTATGAGATGGATTTGTCCAAAGCTGTAGCAGAAACAGGATACAATCTATACGCAGTCAACGCATGGCAGTCGACGCAAGGTGAGCATAATGTTTGTCATGGAAGAGGCTTCATGTAGGGCCGTTGGGAAACCCCAAAAGCTCCCTAAGAAGGCTCCAAGAGAACCCAAGAGGGCCTCCAAAGCGATTCCAGGCATAACCCGTCAGCGATTTCGCGCGCTCCCTCAGGGACGGCGTGTTAGTCTTCGTGTTGGCCAGGTCAAATGTACTTGATCAGATGGTGACAGGATGCGCGCGTTGCGTGCGATCTGATAGTTGAGCGACGCGATAGATTAGAGGGGAGTGTGAGGGGGATCGGTGGCCCACTTCCGGGAGGTTGGCAAGGCTGGGACGTTTTGCTGTCCCAGATGCCTTTGCTGGCATCGAGGCAGCCCTCGTGGGCGCCAAGAGGCTACCATTGTGGCCTCAGGGGGCGCCAGGAAGCGCACAGACCGCCGACCAGGCTTGAGAGGGCCCGCCCCCTCTGCTCCCTGCATTCCCCGACCTGCGATGCCCTGATCTTCTCCCTGCGCGGCTCTCCCACGGGCCCGACCCTTTCCCCTGGGGGCCGGTTCCCTACCCCGCTGCGTTTCCGGGGCCCGGCGAGGGCCCCCCCCCCAGGGGCCGAAAGCGGCCAGGCGCCCCCCGCCGTGGCTTCTCCTTCTCGACGCGAGCAGTCCTGGGCCCTCCCCCCTTGCAAGCAGTGGCGAAGCGTCCTGGCTCGCCTATCGCCCAACAGTGTTCTGAGAACTCTGTATGGTTCCCACGACATTTTCTTAGAGCATTTCTGGCGGAGCCTGTCTTGTTTTACCACATCGGGCTCACGTTCTAAGAGCCTTGGTTCTGTGCTTGGAACATCTTTGGGCTCAATGCACATTTCGTGGTAGGACTCTAGGAATGCCGGGACGGTCGGTCCCTGCTCAAGCAGGGGGCGAGGGGGGAGGGCTCCTCAGAGGGCGCCGGCCTTACATCTATAGTCTACAGAGGAGGCCCGCGCCTTCTAAGAAGCAGCGGTGCTTCTAAGAAGCCCACCCCTCCCCCCGCCGGGACGGTCGGTCCCTGCTCCCGCCGAGCGTGGCCTCTGGGCCAGGCCTCGGGCCTCCGACGGCCGCGCTCGGGGCGGTCCGGGCACCACCCCCGCGGCCGGGTGGCCTCCGGGGACGCGCGCAGACGTCAGGGCGCGCCGAGCTTCTCTTCGTGCTCCCCCTCCTCCTCCTCCTCCTCCTCCTTCTCCTCCTCCTCCGCCTCCTCCTCCTCCTCCTCTTTCTCCTCCTGCTCCTCCTCCTCCTCCTCCTGCTCCTCGGCTCGCCGCCGAGGGGCCCCTCGGCTCGCCGCCGAGTGCAGTGCGTCCCTCTCCGTGCCGTCTCGGGGAGACGCAGCGCTCGAGAGCGCTGGAGCGCGGGCTCACCGGCGCTCTTCGACGAGCGCGCCCCGGAGCTCGAAGGTCCAGGTTTTGGTGGGACGTCTGCAGCGGGAGCTCGCGTCAAGCTCGTGATTGGGTCTCGTCCTTGTCACGATGTCCCCCGAACCCGAGTCTCGCATCTCCCCGACCATGGTTAAGTCGGGCGTGTCCCCCTACAGGGGGATTTTCGACGAAAAATGAAAAATGCCTCCCAAATAGCAAACAAATAAACCAAACATAGTCTGGGGACTGTTTTTTTGGTTGTTGATTTTTTTTTACCTCTTTGGGGTATTTTTTCTCCGTCGAAAATCCCCCTGCAGGGGGACGGGCCCGACTTAAGACCATGGCCCCCCAGCGGCAGGCCGTCGATGAGCCCCTCGGCTCGCCGCCGAGCGCGGTGCGGCCCCCCCCTGCGTCCCATGGGCCCCCCCCCCCCGGCGGCAGGCCGTCGAGAAGGCCTCGGCCGCGGCGGCCGCCGCCTCCAAGCGGAGCGCCGCGGAGCACGCCCGGAAAGAGGCCCGCAGGCCGCGCGGCGCGGCGGCGACGGCGGCGCCGCCGGCCGCGACGCCGCGAGATCTCGGCTCAGCGGATCCCTAGCGAAAAAGCCACCCCGACCCCTAATGCCGTTTGCCAACCGGCCTAGGGCGTCTGGAAGAGCGCTGTCTGCCGCTGCCGGCAGGTGGGGGGGGAGCGGTTTCCCCCCCCCCCCCCCGGCCCCCCTTCAAAACCGAGGGGGGTCTGGAATCCCCCCGCCCTCCCCCCCGGAAAGTTATTGGGCGGGATCTGGAACCCTCCCCGCCCCCACACCCAGGAAAGTTCTTTCCGCAGCCACTGGCTCAAACCGTATCGGCTCCAGCCCGCCCCTGCTCAGGTTCGGCGCTCGGGCCCGGGCAATGGAGTCCGCGGTGGCGCGGCGGCGCCGGCAGATGCGCTCGGCCGTCCTGCGCCGCTTGGGCGCCGCTGGGCGCCGTGGGCGCCGCGGGCGCCGCGGGCCTCCGCTGGCGCCGGTGGCGGCTGCCGAGTCCGCGGGCGCCGCGGGCGCCACCGCTGCCGCGGCGCCGCGGGCGCCGCCGGCGCGCCGCCGGTGCCGCCGGCGCCGCGGGCGCCGCGGGCGCCCGCCGGCGCCGCCGGTGCCGCCGGCGCCGCGGTCGCCGCGCAAGCTGGCGCCGCCGCCGCCGGCGGGACCGCGGGCGCCGCGGGGGCGCCGCCGGCGCCGCGGGCGCCGGTGGAGCCGCGGGCGCCGCTGGCGTCGCGGGCGCCGCTGGCCCGCCGTTGCCGGCGGCGCCGCGGTTGCCGCCGGCGCCGCCGGCGCCGCGCCGCCGCTGGCCGCCGAGGCCGCCGCCGCGCGGCGCCGCCGCGGCCGGCGCCGCCGCGGCCGCGGCCGCCGCTGCTGGGGCTCCCCCCGCTGCGGCCGCCGCTGCTGCCCCTCGGGCGGCCGCGGCGGGCCGCCTGCGGCCGTGCGCCGCGCGGCGAGGCCGCGGCCGCCGCGGGCCTCTGGAGGCCGCTGCGTGGCGCCATGGCCCCTGGCCCGCACGCTGGCCTCGCCGCCGGGGCTGCCGGCTGCGGCCCGTGGCGGCGGCGCCGCTGCCGCGGCCGGCCGCGCGGCACTGCGGCGCTGGCCGCGCCTGGGCCCTGGGGTGCGGGGGTGGTGCCTGCGGCCTGCCCGCCGCGGCGGCCGCCGCGGCCGCCTCCGCGGTCGCCGGCGGCGCGGCCGCTGGCGCGGCGGCGGCGGCGGCCGCCGCCGCGGCCCTCTGCGCCCCCCCGCAGCGACTGCAGCAGCAGCGGCAGCTGCAGCAGCAGCTGCGACAGCAGCAGCAGCAGCAGCAGCAGCAGCCGCAGCTGCAGCAGCAGCAACAGCAGCAGCACCTGCAGCAGCAGCCGCAGCAGCAGCAGCAGCAGCAGCAGCAGCAGCAGCTGCACCAACAGCAGCAGCAGCGGCAGCCGCAGAGACCCACAGCACAGTGCCCGAGCCATCTTCGCACCTCCAGCTGCCCGGTTGAGACAGGAGACGCGACCCTGGAGGACAAGGATAAGGAGAAGGAGGATGCGGCGGAAAGGGCGGGAGCTGCGGAGGCCGCGGAAGACTGCGAGCCTGAAGAGGCGGAGGCCACAGAAGGTGCGGAAGAGGCGCATGCCGTCAGCCGTGCCCCTGGAGCAGAATCGGGTAGACAGGAGCTTGCTTCCGAAAGTGCGGACGGCAGCCGCAAGATCCTGGACCAGCAGGGGCTCGCCTGCCACGGCGTGCCATCCCCACCTTCTCCACAAAATAGGCAGACCGTCATCGCTGCTGCTCCTCGCTCCTATCAGCGCCGTCGGGGCATCGAGCCCGGAGCGGCTATGGCCTCATGCTCACCAGGGAAAAATGGACACGTTGGGCCAGAAGGCAGCCAGGATGTCACTTCGCAACCCAAAGCGGCGGTTAGCCGCGACCCTGGATCCCCGCGGGAAATGGCTGATGCGACGGGTGTAGAAGGAGGCGGAGAGTGTCAGGAGGAGGTTCCATTGCTCAGCAGTCCACTAGGAACGCCAGAGACCCAACATGGGGACCACGGACCAGCCGTTCAGACGCAGGACATCGAAGCCATCCGCCGTCTCGTCGGGAGAAACCCCTTCGCGCCTATTCGCCCTCCTTCCCCTGCCAGTGAATCCACCCGAATGGGCGGCGAACCTCTGGTGCTCCCTCCAGACGCCCAGGACACGCCAGACCAAGAAGTTTGTGCTCTGGCAATGGAAACGGTGTCGCCGCGCGCGCGCGCACCGGGCACGACCGGCGGAGCCCCCGCGCCCGGCGAGAGCCTCGCGGCGATCGAAGGGGGCGCGCCCGTGAGCGACGGCGGGCGCAGGCCCGAAGGCGAACGCCAGCGAAAGGGGCCTCCCCCCGCACACCTCAGGGCAGCGTCCGCCCGGGCTGCCGGAGGCGATCTGGCCCCTGCATGGCGGCCAACTACGCGGCCCACACCTGCCCGCAGGGCCCCGCCAGGCGTGCAACCAGAACTGTCGCAAACAGATCCAGAGCCCTCCTGGACAGCGGGGCTGGTTAGCCGGAGACTTGCGGCCGGAACACGCGGCAGCGCCAGCGGCCAGAGCCCTCGGACCCCGACACGGGACAGCAGCTGTACGAATCAAAGATCGGCACCATCCAGTGGGGCCTTCCCGGGGAGACACCCGGCGCGGCGATAGGGCGGCTCCAAGTCACCTTGGGGGCAATGTTCGCAGGCACCTGGCACGCTTTCGCCGCGCAGCAGGCCGCGTTCGGCGGCGAGCAAAGGCGCGCTCGACCCGCTACGGCGCGACCCGCAAACTTGCTTTCGCTTCCTGGATTCCTTCCGCAGCCACAAGTGCGACGTGCGGGCCGTTAGCGACGCGCCTCGGTGTCGACTGGGCTCAGCTGCGGCATCGGCGCCCGGGTCGAAGCGGCGGCGCGGGCAGGGGTCGCCAGGCGGCAAAAGGGCCACCCGGACGCCCGCGCGCCCAGGGAGGGCAAGGAACAGTGGTTGGTCGTCTTCCCATAGCAGCCGTTTGCTGCCCCCGTCGTGGCTCCGCCGTGGCAGTGAAGGGTCCGCGCGTGCTCCTGTCCAGGGCCGTATCCCTGGGTGCCCGCCCCGTCGCCTCCCCCGGCGGGGAGGGGCCCGCGGGGTTCGAGGTGCTCTGCGTCCCGGCGCTGTCGGCCAAGGGCCGTCTGCCGCCGCCCCCCGCGGGGTGCGGGCACGGGGCCTCCCGCGAAACTCTAGGGACTCTTGCATCCCGGTGCTGTCCGCCAAGGGCCGTCTGCCGCCGCCCTCCGTGGACGCCCCGTCTTCACTCACCCCAGAGCGGCGGTTAGCCGCGACCCTGGATCCACGCGGGGAGTGGCCAGGACTACGGGCGCGAGACCGCTGAGACTGGATCCATGCGGGGAGTAGCAGAGACTACGGGCACGAGGCATCCCGCGGGGGCTCAGGGTACTCCTGCATCCCGTTGCTGTCTGACAAGGGCCGTCTGCCGCCACCCTCCGTGGGCGCTTCGCTTTCACCCAGCCCAGAGCGGCGGTTTGCCGCGACCCTGAGTCCACGCGGGGCGCAGCTGATAGTACGGGGGCGACACCTCCTCTCTTCACTTCAGCAGCGGTCAGCGGCGTCCCTGGATGTCCCACCGCGCGCCTCCCATGGATGCGTCGGCCTTCGAGGTGGCAGCGCTGCCCTCAGCGAGTCAGCCCACTGGCTGCAGACTGCCCACCCTGGACCACGCCAGCAGTGGACGAAAAGATCGACCCGTTCGGTGTTACCTTCCTCTCAGCGGCGGTTAGCTGCGACCCTGGATGCACGCGGGAAGCAGCAGAGACTACGGGTACGTGGCCCCCCGCGGGGGCTCAAGGTACTCTTGCATCCCGGTGCTGTCGGCCAAGGGCCGTCTGCCGCCGCTCCCTGTGCACGCTCCGTCTTCACTCCACCCAGAGCGGCGGTTTGCCGCGACCCTGAGTCCATGCGGGGAGTTGCAGAGACTTCGGGCACGACGCGCGGGGAGTAGCAGAGACTACGGGCACGAGGCATCCCACGGGGGCTCAGGGTACTCTTGCATCCCGGTGCTGTCTGACAAGGGCCGTCAGCCGTCACCCTCCGTGGGTGCTTCCTCTTCACCCAACCCAGAGCGGCGGTTTGCCGCGACCCTGGGTCCACGCGGGGAGCAGCTGCGATTACGGGCGCGACGCCTCCACTCTACACTTCAGCAGCGGTCATCGGCGTCCCTGGATGTACCACCACACACCCCCCATGGATGCGTCGGCCTTCGAGGTGGCAGCACTGCCCGCGGCGAGTCAGTCCACTGGCTGCAGACTGCCCACCCTGGACCACACCAGCAGTGGACGGAAGGATCGACCGTTCGGCATTACTTTCCTCCCAGCGGCGGTTAGCTGCGACCCTGGATGCACGCGGGGGGCCGCAGAGACTATGGGCACGAGGCCTCCCGCGGGGGCTCAAGGTGCTCTTGCATCCCGGTGCTGTCGGCCAAGGGCCGTCTGCCGCCGCTCCCTGTGCACGCTCTGTCTTCACTCCGCCCAAAGCGGCGTTTGCCGCGTCCCTGGATCCATGCGGGGAGTTGCAGAGACTTCGGGCACGAGACCTCCCGCGGGAGCTCAATGCACTCGTGCATCCCAGTTCTGTCCGCCAAGGGCCGTCTGCCGCCGCCCTCCGTGGTCGCTCCGCCCTCACTCTACCCAGAGCGGCGGTTAGCCGCGACCCTGGATCCATGCGGGGAGTAGCAGAGACTACGGGCACGAGGCATCCCACGGGGGCTCAGGGTACTCTTGCATCCCGGTGCTGTCTGACAAGGGCCGTCTGCCGCCACCCTCCGTGGGTGCTTCGTCTTCACCCAACCCAGAGAGGCGGTTTTCCGCGTCCCTGGATCCACGCGGGGAGCAGCTGAGACTACGTGCACGACGCCTCCTCTCTACATTTCAGCAGCGGTCAGCGGCGTCCCTGGATGCGCCACCACGCACCCCCATGGAGGCGTCGGCCTTCGAGGTGGCAGCACTGCCCTCAGCGAGTCA